AAATGATCATTTATTGGTACTTTGAATTGGGAGGTGGCTGTCCCGAAACAGTCCATTGGCTGAGACTGATTTGAACTAAACCCATAAATTTATAATCAGGAAATATTCCTGTGTCCCCCTCTCTTATCACTACAAGGTGTGAGTAGATAGGTCTCATCATTTTGAGGTAAATGTGTTCAAAAGTCTGAAAAATCTGTGTAACTTTAAGGAACGTCACTACCAAACACCTTTTTTCTGCAATTAAGCACACTTTTTTGGAAATTATTCCATAACATTTAGTTTTTATATGTATACCACTGTTCAGAACTGGATAACCATGTGCTGATTAGCATCTTTGAGCTAGGTTCAAAAGTATCTAAAATGACCAAAACTCCACCAAATGTTTCGGTAGCGACAGTGACATCTTTGTTTGTTTTGGGTGTTATCCCATAGAATTGTCTCTACCAAAACAGTCACAACCGAAACATGTCATCATTGTTTTGGTAGAGACAAAAGGGAACACATAATCCTCATATTTGGGGGAAATAAACAAAATATTAGTACAATTATGCAATTTTTTTTGTATTTTAGTATGTTTTAGTAGTGTTTTAGTTCGTGAGTTAACGTTCTGTGATGTGGTCGCTACCAAAGCATTTCTGCCACTATTGAAAATGTGCAGTCACGACCGAAACATGGGATGTTTTGTCAAAAATAAAGTATACTGAATTATCAACTGAGATGTTATGATAGTTTTTGATTCGATGTATATTCAAACTAATGAATCCTTAACTTTGTAAAAGGCAAAAAGTTGATCATACTGATTTCAAAGAAAAATTGGATTCAAAATACAACAAATCTCATAAAATTTGTAACAATATTTCAAGTGCAATTTATTGTTATTGATCTACCTCTGAGGTCAATATAACCCTTCTTATTAAATTATCATTACTGTGTTTCGGTAGTGACAAATTTGGAGAGAGGACAAATTTTCCAGAACTTTCTGAAAATACAATATGATAATTAACTGCACAATTACTAGAAATGTGTTGCATGTGCATACATACAATTTTTTTCTGGAAAAATATTTTCTTTCTAAGACGTTTCCAACTTTGGCTTTGGAGCAATTCTGTAGAATGGCCCATAAATCTTCCCCCCGCTGGGAAGAGACCAGACCTCCTGGAACTTTAATTGAATACCCCTGACTTGTATCATAAAGAAAGACTTTATTTGTATGGTTTTGTAATATCTGTATCACATATTTTCTTATGTGCCATAGAATTGGATTACAGATCAACTGTTTTGCACATTGTAATGGATTAAAACCATTACAAATTAACCATTAAAGTTGCTCTGACCATAAAAGTAACAGGCTGGATGTACATTAACCTTACAAAGCATATCATAGAAGATCATATGTTTTGTCTAGAGCTTTGTAATCAGGATGAGTTTAATTTATGAGGATTTTTTTAGCAAGCCATTAAATCACTCGAGACTTGACTCGGACTCCAGCGATAAAGACTTGTGAACATCACTGTGTGGTTTCTCCACTGAATGGATCTTCATGTGTAGCTTCAGGTGACTTTTAAAAGCGAAACTCTTCCCGCACTGATCACACGTGTGCGGTTTCTCTCTGCTGTGGATCTTCTCATGTTTTTTCAGATCTCCTGACCGACTGAATGTCTTGTCACAGTGTGAACACTTGTGAGGTTTCTCTCCAGTGTGGATCCTCTCGTGCTGTTTTAAACAGTTCGCTGAAATAAAAGTCTTGTCACACTCAAAGCACATGTACTCTCTCACATCAGTGTGAATTTTCTCATGTCTATGTAATCTCCGCAGCAGTGAAAAACACTTTCCACAATCAGAACATGAATGTGGCTTCTCCTGCGTATGAACCGTCAAGTGTGCCTTCAGGTCTGATGACCGAAGAAATGTTTTGCCGCACTGATCACATGCATATGGCTTCTCTCCAGTGTGGATCCTCATGTGATCAGCAAGATTGTGTCTGTATGTGAAACTCTTCTCGCACTGATCACACTTGAATGGCTTCTCTCCTGTGTGAACTCTCATGTGATCATTAAGATGATGTTTGTATGTGAAACTCTTCCCACACTGATCACACGCGTGTGGCTTCTCTCCAGTGTGAACTCTCATGTGTCGTTTAAGAGTTGCTGATTGCGTGAAGCTCTTTTCACATTGGCCACATATGAACAGCTTCACTCCAGTGTGAACACTCTTGTGACCCTCAAGACTTTGTTTGTTTGAGAATCTCTTTTCACACTGACCGCACATGAACGGCTTCTCTCCGGTGTGGGTCCTCATGTGATCATTAAGATGATGTTTGTATGTGAAACTCTTCCCGCACTGATCACACGCGTGTGGCTTTTCTCCAGTGTGGATTTTCATGTGTACTTTAAGATGTGCTGATTGTGAGAAACTCTTCCCGCACTGTTCACATGTAAAAGGCTTTTCTCCAGTGTGGATTTTCATGTGAATTTTAAGGTTTCCTCTTTCTTTGAATTGGTTTCCGCACTGATCACAAGTGAACGGTTTCTCTCCAGAGTGAACTCTCATGTGACGCTCAAGACTTTGCTTGTATGGGAAACTCTTCCCACACTGAGTGCAGGTGAAAGATTTATCGGCTTTTCTTTTCTTTAAAAATGTCTTTTTAGTCTTCGAGCGACTCGAAGGTTTTTCTCCAGGTTCGTCGTGATGTTTCTCCTCCACTTCACTCAGTTCTTCTCTCTCCTCGCTCTCTTCCATCAGCTCTGAAATGAAAAAAAATAATTTAAAAAATCACTTTAAATAAACCAATATTCAAAGAGTGAAATATGAAAGCGAGTCCTGATGTAATAGCAGAAACGAGACAGCTGCTGTAAAACATTATGATCCCTGAGGGTGAGTAAATGATGACCGCATTTTCATTTTTGGGAGAACTATCCCTTTAAGTTATTCTTACAACCCTGTCAGACATTCTGGAAAGTCCATTTACTTTATACAGTGTCCTGTATATTGCTTATTGCTTAAAAAAAAACAAAAAAAAAACACAATGTTGTATCCAACAAACTGAATATCTGTTGGAAACTCTACCACATTTCATAATTTAGCTCTTTATCTAAATGTGATGAAGTGCTAGACGCTTTCTAACATGAATGTTCTTCAGCATCGTGAATGAAGAATAAACACCAACCTGTTAGTTCTTCAGTGTCTTCAGTGTGTTTGATTCTGCAGGGTTCTGGATCTCTCATCTTCTCTCTGTCCTCTTTAATAAACTCAGTCTTTGATCAGATCTCAGCTCTTCCTGATGCTCTGATGCTCGTCTGCACTTCTGAACTGATGGAGATATTCCAGCATTTATTGCTGAACTGCAGTGGGAGGAGCTTCACTGATGATGGGAGGAACTTCACTGGTGATGAGTTCCAGAGTGGGAGGAGCTTCACTGATGATGAATTCCAGTGTGGGAGGAGCTTCACTGATGATGAATTCCAGAGTGGGAGGAGCTGATTGGCCAAAATCAAAAAATATATCACTTACTGAGTTTGTTTTTATAGGGTCAAAGACCAGATGTTTCATAGAAAACCCATTAAGTGCAAATGTGTGTATAGTTATTCTGTAGTCATTAGTTACGTTAGTCAGTTATAGTTATTCTGACCTGTACTTAATAAAATACTGTATATAAAAGAATAAGAGATCATACTTAATTTTATTAGGCTATTGTAATTGATACTTTCCTTCAAAACACTAGCTTTTACCCATTTGTTAGCAAGAACAACTTTGTAATCAATGTATAGAGATTTAAATGGACAATTAATGAGTGTGTTTAAGGATCATAGTGCAGCCCAAAAATAGTGTTTGAAAATGTCATCAAATGATTCTTGTTCTAAATATGCTTGAAAAGGTTTTATTTTTTTTGCTATATAAACCCATTTTTGTCTTTGACTCGTATACTAATTAACAAATGTAAGCATTTGTATCTGGATCATAAAACAACTGATGCTAATTCACAATTATTTAGTTTCTTCGTTAAAATAATAGTGTAACTCATCTTCATTAACCACTCCAGCTAAATAACTAGCAGCATGTCCATATGAATCTAAATATAGTTTGATTTTCTAAGTACATTCACTGCAATAAAGTAATTATAACTTAAATGCTAATTTTGTGAGTAGAAACTGACCACTATCATAAAACTTCCAGCAATACAAAGCACCTAAGCACTAATATTTACAAACAAAGTAAATTGCAGAGAGCTGGGCCTAATAAAACCTGAATTACAGAATTTCAAAAAAATAATTTGTCTTAAAACTCCAAAAGCGCCTATGTTTTTTTTGTGTTTATTGTAATATTTGAAAAATATATAATGTTATTTATAAAGAATTACACTCATAGTAGTTCAAAGGGTTTTCTTTACAATGAAACCATTTTTTTTCATTTCCTCCATTGTATGTGTGTAGGGTAAACATTTGAATTTGAGTATGTCAAATTTAGGCGAAAATACCAAAAAACGCCCTGAGCTTAAGTGGTTTTAAGTACATATTAAATGTCTCACGTAGCTCATTATCAGCTCAATGTGAAGTATTAAACATTATCTGTTCCAGTATTTTTTTACCATGTAAAGTAACTAACAAAATTGATCCAAAGATGTCATAAGAGTAGAAATAAATTGGCAGCTCAACACTTGGGATGGATCCCATCAATTCCCCTCACAGATCTCAAACTTTTGTCCTCGCATGCTCGCTGCAAGTATACTAACCTTTCTATGTTCTGCTGTGTCTCACGTGCGAGCCTTTCAAAGTATATCCCTCTGCTGTGAGCACGGAAAGTGTCTAGTGGACTTTTGTTTTCAAGCGCATAATTCACTCGTGAATATTAGTTGTCCGCGTGGTCACAAAAATTGTGTGTGTGTGGACGTCCTCTTCGGTGTATTGTTACATGCACTTATAGTGCAAGTGCACATTAACTCCACTAGTTAACCCCCACCTCTGGAAATACAGATAAAATATCAGAAAGATACAAAAAGATAAAAATAGCCATTCTACTTCATGCATTAGGAGAGGAAGCCTTGATCAGGGTAGTTTGAATGTTGTGGATTTTACAACTTTAAATAGCAATTTAAATTGGTTAATAGTTCCTCTATGTGAAATATTGTTCCATTTATTTAATCAATTTGGTGGTATAATCTTTTTCTTAAGGTGTGTTCACACTTGTAGTTCGGTTCGTTTGGTTAATTTGGTCTGGACCAAAAAGGAAAATTATACATTTAGTCCTGGTTCGTTTAGCGTTCACACTGGCATTTTTGAAAACAAACCAAAAGATACCGAACTTAAACGCATATTCATACGTTCACAACCTGATTGGCCGGATTGAATGACATATATTTCGTGACGGAACTTACCGAACACCCCAAATAATAGGTGTGCTCGACTTAAAGCGGCAATACGCAGACCGATCGGTGTATGACATCAAAGTACCCATTCACCGATTGGTCTGCTCATCGCCGCTTTAAGTTTAATACACTGGTCTGACGTTGCTCCACGTTTGCCCTCTGCACATTTTGTTTTGGATACATCGCTCGTTCCGCGTCGTCAAATCATGTCGCATAGCGTCGCATCTCATCATTACTTCCGGTTTGTGGTTCGTTTATAAGTATTTGGTCCGTGTTGCGTCCATATATCATTCGAACCGCACCAGAGTTCGTTTGGAAGCAGACCGAGACCCATCTTTTTAGCGGTCTCGGTCCGCTTGTTTGGTGCGCACCAGGGTTCGGATGGCAGCGTTCACACTTACTCGAACCGCAATAACAGAGCAATCGCACCAGAGTTCGTTTTAATCGAACCAAACATGACAAGTGTGAACACACCCTTAGAGGTATATACACGTATGTGCCAAGAGCTCCTGAAACAAAGTGTGTTTGTGCACACCTGGCGAATAAAGCTCATACTGATTCTGAAGAGCCATGTTATGCACAGAAGCCTCGTGTGTGTGTTCTTCCTGTGGAAATAGTTTTACACAGATATATTATTTGGTGGCCCACCAGAAAAGACAGAACATTGGGAGTTTGTGTGTGCTTTGAGTGCTTCAATTTTATTTTTTATTTTTTTAATGTAACTGTCTCGTCTGCTTACATCAGTAACTTTTTACACTATTTTGTTTGTTATGTTGTTTTATAAATGTTTTGCCATTTTATACAGTACTTGGTGCGTTTTTGATCATCTGTCGCTGCTCTCACCTCGTGGTGATGAGGTAAACAACTAAACAGTTAAGCAATGTAGTGTGAGCTAAGTAATGTATAGATCCTGTTTTCACCTCATTCATTGTGCTGATGTCTTCAGATCAGTAAATTGCCACATTATTGGTGTCAACAGACTTGAGCACGATCAACTATTGGGTTAGGGAATACAATCAGTGATCAAACTTACCAAACAATATCTTTATTATCTTTCAAATTCTAAAAAAGGTAAATCAAAATGGTACATATAAAGTGCACCACATGCAAAGCATGCGATGACTGGCAACTTTAACCACTGAAAGGATACTACGACAAAGATATTCCTTTCCTAATTCAAACTGATGTTTTAATGAATATTTAGAACAGCACTCTTGCCTCGCGGTGATGACGCGTTCCCTTTGTTCTGTGTCGAGTCTGCTGAGGTAAACAGCTCACGCTATATCGCTTAACTGTTTAGATAAGTAATGTATAGATCCTGTTTTCACCTCATTCATTGTGCTGATGTCTTCAGATCAGTAAATTGCCACATTATTGGTGTCAACAGATTTAAGCACGATCAACTATTGGGTTAGGGAATACAATCAGAGATCTGACTTACCAAACAATATCTTTATTATCTTTCAAATTCTAAAAGAGGTAAATCTAAATGGTACATATAAAGTGCACCACATGCGAAGCATGCGATGACTGGCAACTTTAACCACTGAAAGGATACTACGACAAAGATATTCCTTTCCTTATTCAAACTGATGTTTTAATTAATATTTAGATTTTATTGAAAGGATAGCCCCTTGAGATGTGACATCTCATTTTCAAGGGGTTCCTAAAAACACAAAAACAAAATATTACAACATAAACAAAACAATCATACAAAACATGTACACACACAAATATACAAAACAGAAGATATGTTCAACCAGTCCCCCACACCCACAGCAGGATTACAAAACAATCAATGTCATATATAAACAGAATCAACAAAAGAAAACTTAAAAGCATACACAAAATATTTTGAGATAAGAAAATAAAGATGACCTAAAGCAATAAAGGGAAGCAACAGATATCAAAGACTGAGGAAGATTATTCCAATCAGATAGAGCTTTATATTGAAAAGACCTACATCCGGCTTCACTAAAAATTCTGGGAACACAAAAGAACGGAAATTGTACATGTCTAAGTGAATAAGAAGATCTGTATGGAATCAAGTACCGTTTCAAATACCAAGGACAATAAAAAAAACACATTTAAAAATAAACAGAAACCAATGAAATTGTCGTCTTCTTGATTTAGGATGTAACCAATTAAGCATTTCGTACATATGGCAGTGATGAGTACGATATGGACACCTTAACACAAATCTACATAAAGAGTTGTAAACCACATTAAGAGGCTTCAGATAAGTATCAGAGGTATCTTGATATACGATATCAGCATAATCAATAAAAGGTAATATTACCTGTGAAATAATTATTTTCCTAACTTGACATGTAAAACAATTAATAAAGTAAACGCAAACAACTGTATGTTCTATTAACAATATAATCAATATGAGGCTTAAAAGTAAGTTCAGGGTCAATCCAAAGGCCAAGATATTTAAATGAATCAACAGTCTCAAGAAGTAAACCATCATCAAAAGTAATATTCAAATCAAATGCAAAAGAACGGCTCCGTCACGTGCCAAATTAACATACAAGACTTCTTCTTATTCAATATAAGCATATTGTATACAAATTATTGCAACAAATCAGAATTAGTGGTGTAAATAACAGTGTCATCAGCATAAATATGTACAGAGCAATTTAAGCATATTTTGAGATAAATCATTAATAAAAATAGAAAAAAGTAGTGGACCCAGAATAGAACCTTGAGGAACACCTTTTTCAACAATTGAATAATCAGACTGAAAACCTTGGAATACAACATACTGACACCTGTTTTGCAGATAAGCATTAAACCAAAGAAGAGCATTTCTAGTTAAACCAATGGAAGAGAATTTATGGAGAAGGTAATGATTGACCA